AGTGCTCCTACTTCTCCGACCGCAAGAGCAACTACATCCAGCACATCAGGACGCACACAGGTAGGACCGCCGGAGACAGGTGGATCAGCCGCTCGGTCAGGGGCAGAGGAAATCAGGACACACCTGCAGGGAGCTTAGAGACCTGATCCTGCAGACAGGGAGACGGATCAAAGCCTGTCCAGCTAACACGACCCCAGCGGAGCTCGTTACTTAAATAAAGAGTCATAAAGTTATAAAGATTTAATACCACAGTGCTGCCGCCCTGCTGGATGGTGGACAGGGGAGGTTTCTAAACCCTCTTTATCAGCTCCTCCCCCTGTCAGAGCTGCTGTAACACACCCGAGTCAAATCAGATGCACATCATTACCAGCAGGGGGCAGCGTTTCTGCCAATCCCAGTCAAATCAGATGCACATCATTACCAGCAGGGGGCAGCGTTTCTGCCAATCCCAGTCAAATCAGATGCACATCATTACCAGCAGGGGGCAGCGTTTCTGCCAATCCAAGTCAAATCAGATGCACATCATTACCAGCAGGGGGCAGCGTTTCTGCCAATCCAAGTCAAATCAGATGCACATCATTACCAGCAGGGGGCAGCGTTTCTGCCAATCCCAGTCAAATCAGATGCACATCATTACCAGCAGGGGGCAGCGTTTCTGCCAATCCCAGTCAAATCAGATGCACGTCATTACCAGCAGGGGGCAGCATTTCTGCCAATCCAAGTCAAATCAGATGCACGTCATTACCAGCAGGGGGCAGCGTTTCTGCCAATCCAAGTCAAATCAGATGCACGTCATTACCAGCAGGGGGCAGCGTTTCTGCCAATCCAAGTCAAATCAGATGCACGTCATTACCAGGAGGGGGCAGCGTTTCTGCCAATCCAGGATCTCTGGATCTCATCTGATCTGTTATGAGCGTAAAGGTCTTCATCCAGATGAACATGTGATGTGTTTTCTGTCTCTTCCAGGCGTGCGTCCTTTCCGGTGTCTCTACTGCGACTACTCCAGCTCACAGAAGACCCACCTGACCCGACACATGAGGACTCACTCCGGTCAGTCTGAACGCTCAGCCCCAAAATAAGAGTCAGACGCAGGAAGCTGCACGGGTTAATAAACGAGTTACAGGACGGGGGACTGGACGGCGTGGACTCGGCTCACCTGACTAGACTCTCGACCAAATCAGAAAGACTTGTGGCCATTTAACGCGGTGACGCGCACAGAACGACTTGTCCGGGACTAGTTGACCTTTGTTTGGGACTTACTGCCCTTCACCTTACCCTCAGGCACATCTAAAGGTTATTTTATACATTTGACTCGACGTGACTCGTGAACTGTTGACCTGTGACAGCAGAGTAAAACTTTAAATACCGACAACAGTACAACAGTATTACTGCAGTAGAAGTATGTGATTGGTCCTTGTTGTCACTAACCCAACTGTCTTGTTGCTCTCACTGTAGCCGTCGATGTCGGATTAACACGGTAAAGTGATTAGCGTCTGTGCTACGTGCTGTGACTTCCTGTGTGAGGCAGATCAGTCTGAAAACAGCACCTCTGTTTTCAGGTTTACCTGCTCAGGTGTGAACTTCCTGCATGAACAGTAGACTTGTGGCTGCACGAACTGTCGGTCTGAATGATTTAAAAGTCACATGAACAGATTGGCAGGATTTCATTGGTTTAGAAAGTACAAAGAACTCAGCATCTCCTCCTCTCTCCTCCTCCAGTCTCCTCTCTTCTTCCTCAATCTCCTCCTCCTCAGTCTCATGCCTCCTCCTCCTCATGTCTCCTCCTCCTCAGTCTCCTCCTCCTCAGTCTCCTCCTGATGTCTCCTCCTCCTCAGTCTCATGTCTCCTCCTCCTCAGTCTCCTCCTGATGTCTCCTCCTCCTCCTCAGTCTCATGCCTCCTCTTCCTCATGTCTCCTCCTCCTCAGTCTCCTGTCTCCTCCTCCTCAGTCTCCTCCTGATGTCTCCTCCTCCTCAGTCTCATGTCTCCTCCTCCTCAGTCTCCTCCTGATGTCTCCCCCTCCTCCGTCTCATGTCTCCTCCTCCTCATGTCTCCTCCCTCCTCTTCCTCATGTCTCCTCCTCCTCCTCTTCAGTCTCATGTCTCCTCCTCCTCCTCCTCAGTCTCATGTCTCCTCTTCCTTATGTCTCCTCCTGTCTCCTCCCTCCTCTTCCTCATGTCTCCTCTTCAGTCTCATGTCTCCTCTTCCTCCTCTTCAGTCTCATGTCTCCTCCTCCTCCTCTTCAGTCTCATGTCTCCTCCTCTTCAGTCTCATGTCTCCTCCTCTTCAGTCTCATGTCTCTTCCTCATGTCTCCTCCTGTCTCCTCCCTCCTCTTCCTCATGTCTCCTCCTGTCTCCTCCCTCCTCTTCCTCATGTCTCCTCTTCAGTCTCATGTCTCCTCTTCAGTCTCATGTCTCCTCTTCCTCCTCTTCAGTCTCATGTCTCCTCTTCCTCCTCTTCAGTCTCATGTCTCCTCCTCCTCCTCTTCAGTCTCATGTCTCCTCCTCCTCCTCTTCAGTCTCATGTCTCCTCTTCCTCCTCTTCAGTCTCCTGTCTCCTCCTCTTCCTCATGTCTCCTCTTCAGTCTCATGTCTCCTCTTCCTCCTCTTCAGTCTCATGTCTCCTCTTCCTCCTCTTCAGTCTCATGTCTCCTGTCTCCTCCTCTTCAGTCTCCTGTCTCCTGTCTCCTCCTCTTCAGTCTCCTGTCTCCTCCTCTTCAGTCTCCTGTCTCCTCAGTCTGTCTCCTCCTCAGTCTCCTCCTCCTCATGTCTCCTGATGGTGAGAAAGGCTAAGATGTGCAGCAAGATCTATAATTTAGTGTTCCCTAACTGTGACCTCATCAATCATCACTTCCTACAAGCAGCTCTGACTCTGTTAGGACGTCCTCAGTAAATGTCTCTGTCCAGGCTCAGCTACAGCTCATATGCACATTAAAGTTTGATTCTTATCAGCTAAATTAACGGACAAAATTAGTTTTTCCGATAATGAAAAACGCCCCAATATCAGCCGAATTGTGGCGCATGACTCTAAAATAAATTCAGGTATGTCTTTAATTACAGAGACAGGAGCTGGACGCCCAGAGTCAAACTGTAGAGCTGGAAATGAGCACGAAAGGTCCCTTTAAACACTATTAGCCAATAACAAACGCTGTGCGAGTAATAACTGGAGGTCAGCTGATCGTCTCGTCAGACTCGCCTGCTGCATGATGAACCTGCGGTGTCTCGTTGTCCTCTGCAGCCTTTTAACGTCTCCTTCCTGTGTGCAGGCGAGCGTCCCTTCAAGTGCGAGAGCTGTAACTACCTGGCAGCCAACCAGCACGAGGTGACCCGCCACGCCCGGCAGGTCCACAACGGCCCCAAACCTCTATCCTGCCCGTACTGCGAGTACAAGACCGCCGACCGCAGCAACTTCAAGAAGCACGTGGAGCTCCACCTGAACCCTCGCCAGTTCCTCTGCCCTCTCTGCAAGTACGCCGCCTCCAAGAAGTGCAACCTGCAGTACCACATCAAGTCCAGGCACTCGGGATGCAACGTCGCCGTGGACATCTCCAAGGTCAAACTGCGCGTCAAGAAACCCGGTCCTGACGGGGCAGAGGAAGACTCCAGGGCGAGCAAGGTGGACAACTCATCCAGCGTCGACGAGGACTTTGACATGGACGAGGACGACGGGGACGAGGGCGTGGACTCGAGCCCGATCAACCTGTCGATCAGAAAGAGCGGGCGGCCCAGCAACGGCCAACCGGCGGAGGGTGAAGCACCTGACAAGGCTCAGAGGAAATCCAACGTCTCCTCTGAGAAAGAGAAACCGCCGAAGGTGAAGGACAAGGTGGAGCCAGAGAGGAAGGTCACGACACGGCAGAAGAAGACCGAGAAGGTGATCGAGAAGGTGATCGAGAATCCTCCAGAGGCCGCATCCGTCAAAGAAACCCAGACAGAGACGGAACCAGCTGCTGTCAGTACAGAGGCCAAGATGAAGAGACGAGGAAAGAAGCTGGCGGCGGAGAAAACAACCGACCAGGACCAGACAGAGCCAGAGAAACCTGCCCAGCAGAGACCGGAGGAGGAGGAGGGACCAGCGAGGCAGAGAGAGGAAGAAAAGCCCGAGAAAGAACACCAGAAGAATGAGAGCAAGGAGAACAAAAGCCTCAACAAGCCGAGGAAATCTGCTTCGAAGAAGTCAGAGAAAGGAGCAGAACCTGAAGCTCAGCAGAAACCGGACAGTCCTGAGAAGGTCCAGAAGAAGGCTGTGAAGAGGAAAGCGGCCGAGGCTCTGGATCTGTCCAGAAAGTCCTCGTCCGAGACTCCGTCTAAGGCCAGACGGCTGAAAGCTGCAGAGAAGCTGCAGATGAAACCAGGAGACTCGAAGAAGGTGAACGACGCCGCTCCTGCAAAGTCCGACGGGACGACCCCCGTGAAGCAGAAGAAGACCAGGAACAAGAAAGCCCCAGGCCTCCAACCAGCTGTGGATCCACCAGAAGACGAGACCACCTGTCCTGCCTCCGACGCTCCAGAAGGATCCACTCAGCCGGACAGCCCGACCCAAACCTGTGAGCCCCGCCCGACGCCAGACAGCCCGGCACAGAAGAATGAAACCACTCCGATCAAAGGTCCGGAGGAGGCGTCACCGTCCTGCAGCTCCACGGAGGACCGCCCGGCGCCGGCCTTTGTTAAACCCACATCACCGCCTTCTCTGGTGCTTCCAGGCCAGCGAGGCAAACCTGCCGATCCCGAGGACGACGAGGGCATCCACAGCAGCCACGAAGGAGGAAGCGACATGAGCGACAGCGCTTCTGAGGGCAGCGACGACTCCGGCCTCAATGGCGCCGGGTCGGGCAAAATGGCCAACGACCCCGAAACGCCCACCGACGAGATCCCGACGCCGACTGAGCTCAAGAGTCACATGTGCATCTTCTGCGACCGTACGTTCCCTCTGGAGGTGGCGTACCGGCGCCACCTGAACCGCCACCTGGTCAACGTGTACTACATGGACAGCACGGCCAAGGAGCAGAACTGAAGACCAGCAGGTTCTGCAGGGACCTCCTGATCCAGAACCTTTCAGACTAAACTGTAGAAGACGGCACCAAACCTGCTTTTATTAACTGAACACAGAAGATCAAACAGGTTTTTAAGGTTCTGTTCGCAGCTTTGTGCGTTTTTGGAAGAACCAGCACGGCGCTCGAACGCCTCCTTCCTGTTTCTCACTGTCACGCTTGAATGTTAAATGACCCAAAAATGTTCCAGAGTTTGGTGCAGATGTGACACAGTTTTGGTTTGAGCTCGGGCTGCAACTAACGATCATTTTCACCATCGATTATTCTGCCGCTCATTTTCTACACTAATCGATTCGTTGGTGAAAAAGGTGGATCAGTGTTTCCCCAAAGCTCGAGGCGACGTCCTCAAATGTTTTGTTTGTCCCACAAAGACCTTCAGTTTCCTCTTAAAGCAAAGAAACCATGAAATATTCACATTTAAGAATCACATTTTCCTTTCTTTTTTTTTTTAGGAAATTGACTCAAACGCTGAATCGATTGTCAGCAGCTGTAATCGACGCAGCGCACTGATAAATTCTTAAAAGTAACCAGATGAGGTGCACAGAACCAGAGCGTTCTCCAGATCTGTCAGACTACGCATCTGTAGATCTGATTCTACTGCTCCGTGGCGTCCTACCAGAGCGCTGAGATCTAACGTCTCAGATTTAATCACACTTTAACCTTTTCATTCAGATCAATCCAACATCCTGTTCCTCATGTCCGCCTGCAGCAGCTTCATTAGTTTTCCATCGTTTCTCCTAATTAATTTTCGAGACATTCGGCTGCATCAATGATATCATGACCATGAAAAGGTTCCCGTGCAGCTGACGCCGCCACCTGAATCTTATCAGAAACATCTGGCTGGGGAGTGTTGTAATATACTGTATGTACACAAATATTCTTTTCTATGATAAAGTGCATTTTTCCTTTTTAAAAAACATTCAGTGCCTTCTGACAATCAGTCCTGTGTTCAGACATCGTTTCTGCAGCTTCGTCCAGAGAGACGCTCGCGTGTGAACATTTAACTTTTTATTTCTGAAAGCTGAAGCTCTCTCAGGTCAGCTTGTCCTTGTAAATACTTCTGTGCAATATTCCCTGTAGTTGAGAAGCCAAAGTGAACCTTCACCTCTGACCTGCAGAGGACAGAACGTCCCCTTCCTCCTGTCTGCGGTTGGAGCGCAGTGAAATCGCACTGCAGCGACTTTAAATGGGTTCGAGGATGAAACTGATGTTATTTAGCTTTTTGTTTCTGTCACACGTGTCGTCCAACGTCCCAAAGAGCTGCAGTTCAGAGGAAATAACACCACCTTCATCCTTTAAGGAGACAGAAGAAAACTCTTCCTTTAGCGGCTCGTTAGTCACTGAAGTCAGAGGAGGGCGGAGCTTCTGTTCCCATAACGACAGAACACATGAACTGATCTCATATCAATAATCAAAAACTGTAATTAGTCTGCAGGAAGTTCTTCACTCTTTATTGTCTCAGCTAACAGATTTCACTTCATGTATCAATCTGCTTTTTTTAAATAAACATTTTCATGATCAAATCGTCGTTTCTCTGCTGCTGATTACAAAACAGGAAGTAGTTCAATGTTTCTGTCCACAGCAGCTTCGCGCTGCGCCGTCAGACATGTCACAGTTAATGTCGCATCACATGTTACTTTGGTTTATGCTGCATTACCATGGAAACACACCCCTGATCAGGTGTCAGAGTTCAGAGTCCTGCAGAAACAGGAAACGGCGTCCTCTGCAGGCAGCCACACAAACAAACAAACGTCACTGTGGAAGCTCCTCCCACCTGTCTGCCGGTGTTCACCTCTTCTTCTTCTTCTTCACCTGCAGCCTCTCGGCTCCGTGGGCCGACAGTCCGCTGTCCAGCAGCCCCGGCGGCTTCACGAGTTTGTAGGCTGCAGATTTTCTGATGCGTTCTCCTTTAAGAGAGACGACGTGAGGAAGCAGCGGCGGCGTCCTCAGACTGAAACCTGCCGCCTCCGGACCGTGAACCCTCAGCAACAGCTGATCCCCTTCTGCTGCCGTCACAGCCACCCAACCTGCAGACGGACGGACGGACAGGTAGGTCAGTTTAAAGAGGGACAAAAGCGTCGGTTGGATCTGGAGACGTGAGGAGACGTGAGGAAACCTTTGTACGAACATCACAATAAAACATTTCACTTCCTAAACTGATCGTTTCAACATGTTAAAGGGAAACTTTGGCGCTTTCACACTTTATCTAACTAAAGAGTTTAAACATCTTCACAGCTGCAGAGTTTCTATGAAAGTAAACGTTCTCTCTGAGGCAGCTGGAGAAACAAACCCGTCGTCTACTTCCTATTTATGGTATTTTTATGTAGTAAAAGGTTTGACGTGACCTTTGTCATCATTATTTGTTATAATTTGTGTTCAACCTTCACACGCTCGCTCAGGAAGGCGGCGAGCTGGCGGGTGGGTTTCAGGTGTTTTACCTGCAGACGACAGTTTGATGTCGGCAGCAGCCTCCAGGTAACCTCGACCCTCCAACCTGAACTCCTGAGGAACCAACGCAGGAAACTCCTTCATGCGCTCCGACCCTCCCAGAGGAACCTGAACGCAACACGGCACAGATATCAGTAAGTGTTGAATCAGCTGACGTGATCATGCGACCGCGGCGAGGCTCACCCCCAGCAGGACGTGTCCCGCGTGTTTCTCATAAACACTGGCGGCCTTTTCCAGACTGGTGACGTGAACTGGGACCCGACTGGAGGCCACGACCGAGAACCAGCAGGACTTCCCCCCCTGGGGAGGAGAGAAGATAAGCAGATAAGCTGATCAGCAGTGCCTGCAGCGAACCCTAAAGAGCTAAGATGCTAACAGTTAGCCATGTGTTGATCAGGTCTCTCTTTAGTCTGCTGAACTAACCGAGGCCCTGAAGACAGACGTGGCGCCAACTCACAGGAAACTGAGTCACTAACTTTGGACATCAGAAGAACCTGAAATATTTATTCAATATTGATCAGGCATTGATTTGATGTTCTGACCTGCAGGAAGTCGATCCTGGCCAGAGCTCCCAGGAACAGACTCAGACCGGGCTTCAGCACAAACGTCCGCGGGACGACTGCCTGAGTGGGAACCACTGACATCACTTCCTCTTCTGTCAACAGGCTGAGGATCTGAGAGAGAGAGAGAGAGGGAACTTGAACATTTTGCAAAAACCTTCAGAAAGGACTAAAGAGGAAACATCATCTTTAGATACACTGTGCAAAGGCAGGTGTGTGAAAAATGCTGTAAAGCAGGAACACTTTCAAAAACAGACTTAAAAAAAGTGAGTGAGCAGAAGAAAAATCTAAATCAATCTCGTGTGATTCTGTTCATGTTTCAACACTGAATAAATGACCCTTTGCTCCAGTGTAAAGTAGTGAGTGTGCAGCTTGTATAACAGTGTAAATCTGCTGTCCCCTCAAAATAACATCGCACAGCCGTTAATGTCTAAACCGCTGGCAACAAGAGTGAGAACACCCCTCAGTGAAAATGTCCACCTATGTCCAATTAGCCATTTTCCCTCTCTGGGGTCATGTGACTCGTTAGTGTTACAAGGTCTAAAGCTGATGATAGACGGAGCAACTTTTAGAGCAACGTTGTTGGGCAATGTTACCTTCAATGGTTATGAGTAAAGATTACTACCGTAATAAAGTGAGTCCTGCCTACAGTCCAGCACGGTGGTGGGAGTGTCCTGGTCTAGGGTTGCATGAGTGCTGCCGGCACTGGAGAGCTACAGCTCATTGAGGGAACCATGAATGCCAACATGTGCTGTGACACACTGAAGCACAGCGGGATCCCCTCCCTTCAGAGACTGGGCCGCAGGGCAGCGTTCCAACATGATAACTCTCTGGTGAACGCCATGCCCAACAGGGTTAAGGCAGCGCTGGAAAATGGTGGCCACACGAAACATTGACACTGACATTTTCACTTAGGGGTGTCCTCACTGTTGTTGGCGGCGGTTTAGACATTAACGGCTGTGTGACGTGTTATTTTGAGGGGACATCAGATTTACACTGTTATACAGGCTGCACGCTCACTACTTTACACCGTTCTACAAGCTGTACGCTCACTACTTTACACTGTTATACAGGCTGCACGGCTCACTACTTTACACTGTTATACAAGCTGCACGCTCACTACTTTACGCTGTTATACAAGCTGCACGCTCACTACTTTACGCTGTTATACAAGCTGCTCGCTCACTACTTTACGCTGTTATACAAGCTGCACGCTCACTACTTTACGCTGTTATACAAGCTGCACGCTCACTACTTTACGCTGTTATACAAGCTGCACGGCTCACTACTTTACGCTGTTATACAAGCTGCACGCTCACTACTTTACGCTGTTATACAAGCTGCACGCTCACTACTTTACGCTGTTATACAAGCTGCACGGCTCACTACTTTACGCTGTTCTACAAGCTGTACGCTCACTACTTTACGCTGTTCTACAAGCTGTACGCTCACTACTTTACGCTGTTCTACAAGCTGCACGCTCACTACTTTACACTGTTATACAAGCTGCACGCTCACTACTTTACGCTGTTATACAAGCTGCACGCTCACTACTTTACACTGTTATACAGGCTGCACGGCTCACTACTTTACACTGTTATACAAGCTGTACGCTCACTACTTTACGCTGTTATACAAGCTGTACGCTCACTACTTTACACTGTTATACAGGCTGCACGGCTCACTACTTTACGCTGTTATACAGGCTGTACGCTCACTACTTTACGCTGTTATACAGGCTGCACGGCTCACTACTTTACGCTGTTATACAAGCTGTACGCTCACTACTTTACGCTGTTATACAAGCTGTACGCTCACTACTTTACGCTGTTATACAAGCTGTACGCTCACTACTTTACGCTGTTATACAAGCTGTACGCTCACTACTTTACGCTGTTCTACAAGCTGTACGCTCACTACTTTACGCTGTTCTACAAGCTGTACGCTCACTACTTTACGCTGTTCTACAAGCTGCACGCTCACTACTTTACACTGTTCTACAAGCTGCACGCTCACTACTTTACACTGTTCTACAAGCTGCACGCTCACTACTTTACACTGTTATACAAGCTGCACGCTCACTACTTTACACTGTTATACAGGCTGCACGGCTCACTACTTTACACTGTTATACAAGCTGCACGGCTCACTACTTTACGCTGTTATACAAGCTGTACGCTCACTACTTTACGCTGTTCTACAAGCTGTACGCTCACTACTTTACGCTGTTATACAAGCTGCACGCTCACTACTTTACACTGTTATACAAGCTGCACTACTTTACACTGTTAAACAAGCTGCACTACTTTACGCTGTTATACAAGCTGCACGCTCACTACTTTACACTGTTACACAAGCTGTACGCTCACTACTTTACACTGTTACACAAGCTGCACTACTTTACGCTGTTATACAAGCTGCACGCTCGCTGCTTTACACTGTTATACAAGCTGTACGCTCACTACTTTACACTGTTATACAAGCTGCACTACTTTACACTGTTATACAAGCTGCACTACTTTACACTGTTAAACAAGCTGCACTACTTTACGCTGTTATACAAGCTGCACGCTCACTACTTTACACTGTTACACAAGCTGTACGCTCACTACTTTACACTGTTACACAAGCTGCACTACTTTACGCTGTTATACAAGCTGTACGCTCACTACTTTACACTGTTACACAAGCTGCACTGCTTTACACTGTTATACAAGCTGCACTACTTTACACTGTTACACAAGCTGCACTACTTTACGCTGTTATACAAGCTGCACTACTTTACGCTGTTATACAAGCTGCACTACTTTACGCTGTTATACAAGCTGCACTACTTTACACTGTTATACAAGCTGCACTACTTTACACTGTTACACAAGCTGCACTACTTTACGCTGTTATACAAGCTGCACTACTTTACACTGTTATACAAGCTGCACTACTTTACACTGTTAAACAAGCTGCACTACTTTACACTGTTATACAAGCTGCACTACTTTACACTGTTATACAAGCTGCACTACTTTACACTGTTAAACAAGCTGCACTACTTTACGCTGTTATACAAGCTGCACGCTCACTACTTTACACTGTTACACAAGCTATACGCTCACTACTTTACACTGTTACACAAGCTGCACTACTTTACGCTGTTATACAAGCTGCACGCTCGCTGCTTTACGCTGTTATACAAGCTGTACGCTCACTACTTTACACTGTTATACAAGCTGCACTACTTTACGCTGTTATACAAGCTGCACGCTCGCTGCTTTACGCTGTTATACAAGCTGCACTACTTTACGCTGTTATACAAGCTGCACTACTTTACGCTGTTATACAAGCTGCACTACTTTACGCTGTTATACAAGCTGCACTACTTTACGCTGTTATACAAGCTGCACGCTCGCTGCTTTACACTGTTATACAAGCTGCACTACTTTACGCTGTTATACAAGCTGCACGCTCGCTGCTTTACACTGTTATACGAGCTGCACGCTCACTACTTTACGCTGTTA